CAAACACAAATATTTTCTTGGGAGGATCAGGGAAGTTTTTATGTTTGTGATGTAGGCTGTAAAGGAGGAATTTATTCAATCATTTAATAAACATTTGAGTAATTGTTTGTGGGAGTGGAGCTACCTCTGTCAGCTACCTACCAAAACCCATGCGCTCCACTTCTTACTGCACACACAGCTAGACATCATTGGACAATCTCCTTTATTGTGAAATATGGCCATTAAATAATGTTTTAGCTGGTGGAGTTTGACTAAAAATATTATGAGCCACCTTCAGGAATGCTAATAAAAAGGCTCCCGCGTGGGCTCTTCCTACCCTTACCCATCTAGTTGGCTGGAATGAAGATGATGCCAGGTTACCCTGGAAGCTATGCATCAAAGACAGCAGTCAGCCTGAGTCACTGAATGACTGTATAGTTAAGAGATGCCCTGTACATTTGTTCATGATGTACCTGCTCGCACCTGCTTGATCCATTAGACACTTTATGGTCAATCTAATGCAATAATTGGCCTATCCTAATNAGAACAGCAGTTAAGTGTCAGCTCATATTTTGACTTCATTTAGCAAAGAAAAAAAACATAGTCCTTGGAAATCCCTGGTCTCTGATCCTGGTCCAACCAGTTAATTACATGAACAGGTAAATACTTGGCCCCCAAATAAACCCAATCTCATCAAATAATGATGTTTACCACTTAACATTAACTGAAAGAAAATTCAAGGTGTTGATTCACAACCACAAAGATTAGTAGAGGTCCAAAGAAATGTAAGTTAGGCCATTAATATCAATAACAACTAAGGCTCAAAGGGCTAAGGAAATTACTCCAGATCACATGCTAGAGGTAGCAGAACTAGGACTCAAATTGAGGCTGTATGATTCCAACGCCTGTGCTTTTCCCACTGGACCTCACTGCGTCACATGCCAGAGACTGCCCACAATGTATCTGTAATTGCTGGTGGCCAGTAAGGTATGTGCACAAATAAGTATAATTCAGGCAAAGGAAGATAAGTGCCACCAAAATGATGCAAACACAAATATTTTCTTGGGAGGATCAGGGAAGTTTTTATGTTTGTGATGTAGGCTGTAAAGGAGGAATTTATTCAATCATTTAATAAACATTTGAGTAATTGTTTGTGGGAGTGGAGCTACCTCTGTCAGCTACCTACCAAAACCCATGCGCTCCACTTCTTACTGCACACACAGCTAGACATCATTGGACAATCTCCTTTATTGTGAAATATGGCCATTAAATAATGTTTTAGCTGGTGGAGTTTGACTAAAAATATTATGAGCCACCTTCAGGAATGCTAATAAAAAGGCTCCCGCGTGGGCTCTTCCTACCCTTACCCATCTAGTTGGCTGGAATGAAGATGATGCCAGGTTACCCTGGAAGCTATGCATCAAAGACAGCAGTCAGCCTGAGTCACTGAATGACTGTATAGTTAAGAGATGCCCTGTACATTTGTTCATGATGTACCTGCTCGCACCTGCTTGATCCATTAGACACTTTATGGTCAATCTAATGCAATAATTGGCCTATCCTAATATATATATATACATATATATATACATATATATATATGTATATATATATATATATAGTCCTTGTGACATGATAAATAAATTTGTCATGACCTTAAGAAAGTCACAATTTTATAGGGGAAAGCAGTTAAATCCATAGGAAAATAGACACAGTATATGATAGGAGGGAACTGTGAGTGCTTAATCTTACCTTAGTGATTCTAGTGATGAAGCTCTCCCCAAAGAAATGGCATCTAAATTGAGGCCTGATGCATATATGGGAGTTCTCTGGGAAGAGGAGAAGAGAGAGTGGAAAGGAAAAGTATCCCAGCACAGGAAGAGCATGTGCAAAAAATAACACTGGGGCATAAGATTTGTATAGGTAGAGAAAGGGGGTGTGACCGTCTTAGTGGAAGAAACAAATGCAGTGTCAGAGGGTAGGCTATGAACCTTCAGAGTACATAGGAAGCGCAAGATGGCTGGTAGCAGCTCAGAAGATGCCATGGTTGTCATTCTTAAGTACGCTGATTTGTGCCAGAAGACTGGACTAGGGACACGGACAGGCAAGGAGGAGACCAGATTGAACAGAACTAAGGCTTTGTGCTAGATTATGTGGAAGGGAAAGTTAGGAGATAGGATAGGCTTAAGACTTCCTCACCAGACAAAAGATGATCATTGGAAGGGCAAGGGAGTCCCAACTGCAGGGAAGGGACAGCATCAAAAAAGCATTATATGAGCATCTGGTCAATCAGAAGGTCTTAAAACGGAGTCATTTAATTAAATTAACAATTATTTACTGAGTATCCACTTTGAGCCAAGGACTGCCTAAGTAACTGGAGGTGCAGCAGTGAATTAAACAAAGGCTAACCTCATGAAGCTTCTAATCCAATGGATCTAGAAACAGAAAGCTGAGTTTTCAGCCCTGGCCAAGAGTATAGGTTCCATCTTATATTTGGTATTTTTAGAGCATCATATCTTATAGAGTACTTTCTCATCCCAAGGTTAACATTTATACTTATAATAACCACTGGACAGAAAGTAGTATTTTCTCTATTTTATTGATAAGTAAAGTAAAGCTCAATGATATAAAGTAATAGAGTGCAATAATAATCACCACTATTTCTGGACACATTACTACGCATCAGATGCCTCCAGTAAGGTGATTTACAAACATTCTATCAAATATTCAAAACCATTTTGTAAAGTAGGGTATTATTATACACATTTTACATGAGAAAACAAGGACAGGAGTCAGTATCAGCTAGAAACTGGAGCTAATCTGTGCTAGATATATTCCATTTGCCCCTCTGTAACCTGTCTGCACACCCTTTTCCCTGCTTACTTGGCTGATCTCTAAGGATTACATCAACTGTATTCTGTGTTTCTGCCTTCTGTTCAGATCTTCTCATGGGGAAGTCTTTCAAGTGATCAGAGGCAGGAAGGAGGGGGAGGTCAGAGTATTTATTTTCCTGGCTTCTTTCCCAAAAAGTAACCTAAGGCTGCCTGTTTCTCTTGATAGAAGGTCACTAGTACTTTCAAAGAAGTCCACTCTACACAACTCCCTCTTTCTGGGTTTCAATAACTTTTCCCTTCTCTGGTCCCTTGTGCCTTACAGGTTTGATGAACTACATCAACCTCAGTTCTGAAGCTTTAAAGTCTTCCAGCCCATTAGAGAAGCCCAATGACTGGATAATGGCTTTTGCTGCTGAGAGCTTGCCAATGCTGGATAAGAGCACTAACTTAATTCTAAGGAATTATAATGTAAATATAAGAACTCATTAAATTTCAAAATCTTTTCAAGAGCCCTGACAGAGAGGACCCAAATGATAGCCCATGAGAAACAAAACAAAATAAAATGAAATAATTAAGGCTTAAGGATTCTCAAAAGAAAAAAAAAGGGAGACTCCAGAACTGAACAGTTGAGAAAATGGGCTGTGACTACTGTTGCTGTGTAAGATCCCATCACAGAGCCCGGTGAAAGAAGCACAATGTTATTTTGAAGGCCCTCAGGAGCCTATCAACAGTGATGTCCTTTGGTTGGCAAAGTTTGAAGTACACATCAACACATATGCCTGCTGATAGGGACATGTGTGCTATTATTATCCACCTGGGCTGACTGCAGAGACTCCACGCAAAGGCCTACCCCTTGCACAGATCTCAATGTCAGGAATTAAGGAGCAGCAGTACAGTTGACTTGATACAGCAAAGCAAAAAACAGGCCCAGGGAGATATTTTTATCCTTTATAAACAGTTTTCATTATCATCATCAAATGCCTACATTTTCACAAACCTGGGATTCTCAGCCCAACATTTCTAGAAAAGTGCCAAATATCATTTATAGATAAAAGCACAATTCAATATTTATGAATTGTGAGTTTTCTATAAATATAGACATTTGGAGATGGTCTTCTCACTAGTCATTAAATTTTGAACAGGGATCAAAGCTAGAATAATATTAACAATTTCTTGCATTTGTATAGTGTTTACATAATACTATTAATAATAGATGACATTTACTGAGCACTTAGCAAGTGCCAGGCACTTTACATGTAAATTCCCATAATAAATTCAGTTCAGTTCAACAAGCATTCACTTAGCACCTACTGTGTAACAGACAAATAACACTTGGTTTCTGTCTTTAAAGCCCCTTGTTTTGTGCATTCAATCAGTATTTGGTGAATGAGTAAATGAATGGATAGATGAACAAAATGACTGGCTCGAGTGGCAATGTGGAGTAATAAAAATAATGCAGGCTCCTCCTCTTACTATTTAACATCTGTAGAAAGTACTTAACCTTTCCTGGCCTCAATTTCTTCATCTGTAATATAGGGATATTTAAAATATCTCTTGCAGAAGTGTTGTGAGAATAGTAACAGCAAATGTAAAACATCTGACAAAGGATGGGCTCCAAGTAAGTGAGGGTAGTTATCATTACCACCCATATCATCATCATTACCACCATAATTGAGCAATCCTATCCAGCTCTCATCCTCACTACAGGGATGGGACAAACAGAACTTTAACATCCACAAAAACACACAACATCATAGCATCTACACAAAAGCACCACAAAAAACACACACAAACAAACTAGAAAAGCAAGGAAAATCTACTAAAATGTAGTGCTCAGTATCTTCCTAGGTTACTGAACAACATATATGCTCAAGTTAAAAAACAAACAACACAGAATCAACTTTAATTAAGTTTCCAAAGATACCTGATAAAAGGCAAACAGGATAGGAAGTTAACCACATAATAAACTGCACCTTTCCTCACAACGTTGGTCAATCCAAACATGGGGCCATGTTCTCTATCCCAACATTCTCAAAAAATAGTACCTGGTGCCTAACCAATGGCCATCCAGAGACTCATCTTCTTCTCAGTGCCAGTGAGGCTAAGCCCTATCCATACAGCGGATGAACTTGATCCCTGGGTCAAATTCTCCAACCAGAAATTTGTCCCAATCCATGGGTCACTTACCATTTTGATCTGCTAGTAGATTTCACCATCGGGGCCATCCCATCTCTATAAAGACTCTTGGTTTTGCTGAAGTTAACAATGTTGAAAATGACTCTCTGAAAACGAAAGAGGGAGAAGTTTATCAAAAGACTATGTTATGCAAATAGCCACTTCCTGATCATTAGTACTGGAAACAATAAGCAGGGTTAAAGGAATCCATACGGACTGGCTGCCAACAGTATAGTGAGAAGAAATCATGCCCATAGAAATCCAATGTGTTTGCTCCAGTTTAGCCTAGTAGTTAACAGCACAGACCCTCGAACCAGGGAGCCTGAATTTTAATCCCACTTTACCACTCTCAAGTTGTATGACCTTGCCAAACCACTAAATTTTTCTGTGTCTCAGTTTTCTCATCTGGAAAATGGGAATAATAATGGTACCTAGAACTACTGGTGAAGATGAAAGAAATTAATGTATGTACAGTGTTTGGAACCATACTTGGTACATACTAAATGCTATGTAAGTTTTGGCTATTTTTATTAATTGTACCGTCTCTCCAGGCTGACCTAGTATTTGCATGGAAACGAATGATATTATCATTACAGCGACAGTAGTGCATTTGAAGTTCAACAAACTAAAGATAATAACAGTGCAAAACGGAAGTTAAAAAATTCTGAAACTGCTCCACACCCTTCTGACTGGAACTGGAGGTTATATGTCCTCTTCTGCACCCCCTCTGTTACCCTCTACTAGGGGCTAGGGGTACCGGACTCAACCCTAATTTTAGCACCAACTTATAGGGACATAGGTACTTGAGTAAGTCCCTTTCCTCTCTGGGTCTCACCTTTAAAACAGGGGAGCGGGGTGCCCTAGATGACTAAAGTACTTCCAGGAGGGTAGTATAGTTAACTTTGTCATAACTGGGGAGAAGAGATTGGGAAAGAAAAGATAATTGGGGTTAAAAGACACTAAATGATCACCTGAATAGTGCAAAGGACAGAGACTGAGGACCACAGCCAGGACAGCAAGGACAGCTGGCGGAGCGGCGAGGTTCAAGAGGGCACAGGGCCTAGCTCTCCTCCCCAGGCAGAGCGGCAAGCATCAAAATTCATGTACTGCTTCATGGAACAAGTATTTATTGTGTGAGGTACTATATGATATCAAGTGCCAGGTATTTTATACACTTTTAAAATGTTTTAAATATCCTCCTATAAGTATGGTAAAAATACTAACATCCCCATTTCAAAGATGTGGAAACGGAGGCTCCGATAGTTTAACTAACTTGTTTAAAGGCATATAATTAATAGGTGGAGAGTTAATATTGAATCCAGGGGATAAAAACAATAAGATGCCCATGATCTCTACCCTTGACATCTCACTAAGGTTCCAAAATTCCATGAACTCTAACCAAGTCTGTTTTCCAAAATAAGGGCAAAAATTAATATAATGAAAATTTTTCAAGTCTTTAAAATTTTGTCTTCTTGAAAAGCAAAAATCTTAACCATTTCTTCTGGCCTCATGCTTGGGACTACCATAAAATGTTTTGTTCTATGAAATAAGTTCTTAGGAATCACTCATGTTTTTCTTTCTCCTCAGAGATCTAGCCATTGACACTCCCCCCCCCCC